TAGAGATACCATTTGTCCCAGCAATTCCACTTCTGGGAATATACCCCGAAGAGACCATAGCTGACATCCAAGCAGATATATGCACACCCATGTTTATTGCAGCTTTGTTCACAATAGCAAGGAGTTGGAAACAACCTAAGTGATCTTCATTTAGAGGTTGGCTTAGTCTTGTGAAAGGAGCCATGTTGGCACAGCCATGATGACACATTTGCCCATCAAGCAAAAGTTCAGCTTTTGGGGTTCACCAGTCATTCTACGGGGAAAAGAAGTAGCAGGATTTTCTTGTAAAGTTTATCGCTTTGTGAATCCAACAGGGCATCTGTTCCCCTGTGCTCTAGAGTTTCTCTGATCTGGAATCAACTTCATGGAAATGAGTGGGGCAGTGTCATGCTAGTGACATGTTCCTGGGCAAAGTACTTCCTCTCTCAGAGCCTCAGTTTCATAACTTTGAAATAGAGATATTAATGGGAGCTTCTCTGTAGGGGTGCCTGAAAACCAGATTGTGTAATACAAGAGAAGCCTTAGCACAGCCCGGCCACACCCCTGGAACGTCCTCCACTGCCTCCAGCCCTGGGCTCTATGCTCAAATGTCAGGTTTTTCATCTGTACGTTCACAAGGAATAAAGATCACACCATGAATATAAAGTGTGTGCCGCACGTGTCTGCTGAAGAGTGTGCGTGAGGAATGTCTCCGTTCACTCAGGCGTGCCGTTCATGACCTTGGGCCTGGCCTTGTTTCCTTTTTTGCCCAGGAGGAGAGGTGGCGTGCCTGACCCTTAGCAGTCTGGGGCTTCAGACATGCAGCGAGGAGAACGGGGGAGCCTGGCGCATTTTAGACTGTGGATCTTCTGACACTGAAGTGCGCACCTATCCCTTCGGATGGTACCAGAAACCTGGTAAGTGACTCACCCCTGCCAAGGATGTGGGCACCTTTCACTGGCTGCTTCTTGATCATGGGTGATGATGGCCTCTGTCCAGAACATAGGTTAGTTAGGACTCATTGGATAAAAGCAACAGAACTAGATTGTAATTAATACAGTCATAATGTATTGGAAAACAATTTCCTGGCAGTCTTTTTATAGACTCAGAGCAAAGCTACCACCTAGGTCTCAGAAAGGTGGACTTGAGTCACCCTGAGGAATATATCCCACAGGAATTCATGGACTGTGTCTCTAGTGGGCCATTGGTGTTTATCTATGTGCCGCAACGATTTTGTCATTGCATTGACTTAAGACTCTTCGATACCCATGATTTTTCATGGTCTTCACATCCCCCAGCACATTATGCTGTCCAGAGTGGGCGAGGCTTGGGGAACGGGAATTATCATGTGCCTGTCATGTATGCTGGGGCTTCTGTCACCCAATTCTCACGTCACCCCAGTGGTATAAGAATGTAGGCTTGATGACTCTCCTCCGCACCCCCCCCCCATTTTAAGATGAGTATACTGAAACTCAGTAGGCTGAAACTGCATGCGGGAAAAAAACACCCACATAGCTCCTAAACAGAGTTAGACAGCAAGCTCCAATGTTTGGTGTGGTTGAATAAATATAATGGCCCCCCAACTAACCATCTTCCCACCTACCATGTCACTCTATTCAGCGTCGCACCAGTGACAGAATGTTAATGTCAAAAACCTTGTCTGACGAGTTGGCACTTCAACTCAACTGACAAGCACACAGTGTGTCTTTTAAAAAGGTTCATTCATAAACTCCCACACTAAACCAGTTGTTAGGTGGGCCTCTTGCTCCATAGCTGTATTCTATGACCCAAGAGGCCCAGAGGTCCAGGTAGAGTATGGCCCTTGATGATTGTTCTTCGTCCCTCAGTCCCGCATGCCTCCCTTGGCATCATGCTGGACTGTTCTGGCGCTGATTGCCACCATGCTGAGTGGACACCTCCCTGCCCATGTCCCCTGTGAGCCTCCTCTGATTCAGTCTGATCTGAATGCATCCCTTGTCTTTGCATTTTATTTCCACATCTTGAATTATTTTAAGAAAAGAATCCTAAGAACAACAGTAAAAATCTAAACCTGTTGCCATTGAGTTCGTTCCAACTCACAGAGCCCCAAGAGGACACAGCAGAATGGTCCCAAAAGGTTTCCAAGGCTGTAATTCCTTACAGAGGCAGACAGCTACAGTGTTCTCCCACGGAGCAGCTGGTGACTTCAAACAGTTGTCCTGTGAAAGACGGCCAAGTGCTTGACCACCGTGCTACCAGGACTCACAGGAGAAGGCTCAGGGGTGTAGAATTCAATAGCCTCGGTGCGTTTCTATTTAGACAAAAATGCTTATCCATGGCAGCCTCTGTACTTCAATTCCGAAGGCTGGGGAAGAACGGAACGTCTGTGTAGATGTCAGCTATGGGCATTTGGGAATTCTTAATTGAGCTCTCGCCTCAGTGTCTCCTTGCTCTTTCTGTTCTCCCACACTCCCTCCCACATCCTCACCCCACCAAAGGCTAAAAAATACCATTTTCCATCTACATAGTACTCAAGGGAGAGTTGGATAAAAGGAACTTAGAAGATAAATCGCTTGTTCAGAGATGGACTGGGCATTGCATCAGAGCATTTAGAGCAAGTTGGCAGGGCTTTGGAGGAGAAGCACCTCAGGGCTCTTTAGCCGAACCTGCTCCATCTGTTCTATTTCTTCTCGTTTGACAGCACCAAGCACTGATTTTTTCCATCACTGTCCTGTGGGGTCAGGATGGAGCCCAGGACTTGGACCAGGAATTGTAAGACCAGAGATTTACAAATTTGCAAAGGTGTCCTCATTTACTGAACACTGAGCATTGACCAGGAGTTCTGCTGGTGTGGTGGTTAAGCATTTACCTTTGAACCAAAAAGTCATGGTCTCGAACCCACGAGTCACTCTATGGATGAAACATGTCGGTGTATTCTGAAAGAATCACAGACTTGAACCACTCTGGGGCAATTCCACTATGTCCCGCAGGGGCACTGTGAGCTGGAATCAATTCAATGACACTGAATTTGGTTTTGGTTTAGAACATCAGATGAACTAGAGTATCTTCTGGTACAAACCTAACATCTATTTATTGAGCCCTTACTGTATGTCAGACCTGGTACTAAGCATTTCACAAACATGATGCCATTTAATCCTCACAATTTTCATCAGGTGAGGAATGAGAGACTCAGAGAATTATTGGTGGTCAAGCAGTTGATATATGCCAGGGTTAGAAGTTGGGCCCCGGTCTTTCTGACTCTAAATCCACCATATGGCTGAGAACGGATGAGAATCAGGCCCTGTCCTCAAAGTACCTGCAGCCTGAGGAAAGGTTATCAATGTGAAATTAAAGAAACAAATCCTTCTTCTGTGGCTTTCCCATGCCACAAGGCCAGAAGATCTGAAACAGTGCTGAGTGTCTGCTTGGGCCTTTTTCTGTACTGGGGAATAGGGAAAATGAGAGGAAAAGGACACAGTGCTGTTCCTTAGAAGCTCCCTGTCTAATCAGGAAAACATACAAAAATATAAAATAAATTATAGCATGATAAGGAAACCTGATGAAACAATGATTAAGCTTGCAAGAAGTAGATGGTTTGAGTCCACCAGCAGTTCCGTGGGAGAGGAGACCTGGCAACATACTCTGTAAAAATTACAGCCTTGGATGCCATATGGGGCAATTCTTCTCTGTTCTCTGGTGCTGCTTGTATGTGAGTTGGCATTAATTTGAGACTACACAACATCATAGCAGAAGAGGCTATGCAGACGAAGTTTTACACATCATCTGTGAGAACAAGGGAACAAGACACTAGTTGTGCTTGGAGGTCATGCTGAAAGGCTCCCACAGACCCACTTTGTGTCCTAGACACCTCTTGGGTTCCTGCCTCCTTGACATGGACGGTCCCCCAAGGCTGCCTTTCACTCTGCTTTCTCTGAAAGTCTCCTTTCAGTGACTCATTAATTAAAAGATTCTTTTTAATCTCTAAATCTTTTAATTCAGAGTTTAAAATGATATCAGTTTCTGTTTATATCCATGACCTTATATTTCCATGGGTGGAAAACAACCAAGGGTATGCAAGGCTGGGGTCACCCCAGTGCTAAGGTGATGCTATGGAAATGATTCACCCTATGTCAACTCCATGTGTTTCTAGAACTTTAATTAGCTGATTTTCAGAATCAGATCTCGGACCTTTTTCTGAGATACTTTTGGGTGGCCTTCAACCCTGACATTAACACCTGGGTAACCATTTGTTCCACTGAGAGACTATGATTTCATTGTTAGTGGCTCTCTACTTCCCATTTCAGAAAAAGAAGGGCAAGGGTTGGGTGTCCGAGGTTTAACTAGCATCTCATGGTCCTCGAAGCCCTGAGACATCAGAAAGGAGTGGTGAAGTGAGCATTAAGACTCTATGATCATCCCACCTGACAGCTAAGTAAGGAATCTGACTTAGAACACTGGGTAAATAAATTAGACTTTCTCCTGGTTAGGTCGGCTTGACCAGTACAAAATCATCTTTGAATTCTAGACATTCATATTTTCTTGTATTCAATTTTCTTTCACAGTCAAAATCTCATTAATATTCTGTAGGAAAATTCCAACATGCACGGCAACATCATTGGTACTTTCTTTCATCCCTATTTTTGTTAATCATGTATGTTGCATTGAGACACAATCTCTATAGGTTTAGAGAAAGCTGCATGATATAGAAGCAATTAGATTGAGCCTCAAAAGATTAGTAGGATTCTATTCTTCACCTTTCAGAAAACACTAGCACATAAAATTCAATGTTTTACAAAGGTCCTTTTACCACAAATCTCAAGAAAGCACTTTGATCCTGATGACTTGGTATAGAGTCACCTGGACTGAGTGATAGACTCACACCATTAGACTCTAGGCTGAAAATCCTTCCAATCCACTACTAGTATTATCAGACTTTATCTCCTGTTTCCAGGTCCTGCCTCTGTGTCAGACCCCTGCTCTGGCCCTAGCACAGTGGGAGCGTGGGAACACAGGAGAGTAGAATCCTCCTTCCACAGTGTGTTTAAGAAGACACAGAAGGAAAGGAATATTGCCTTTTAAAAATATTTTTAAAATTTTTGCTGTTGAAAGTACACACAGCAGAGCATTCTTGATGTACGGTTCAATGACATGGATTACATTCCCCTTTCATAATAGTACCTGCCCTTTCCTTTAACCTTTCTATCTATTTGCTATTGTCAATTTGATCCCATATAGTCTTTCGAAAGACACAATGTTTATGGGAGACAGTGTTTACTTGCTCATTCAAATTGTTTTTAGTTGAAAGAAGATTTTGGAGAGCATTTTTGGTGTAAGGTTTAAAGATCATCTCAGGCAGTAGTTTTTTGTTGTTGTTGTTGTCTTTGGGTTTTTTTGTTTTTTTTAGTTCATCCAGCAATCATAAATCCAGAAAGTCTGGATTCCACAAGAGTTTTGAAATGCTGCTAAGTGAACATTTCCTAGCCACTTTCTCTTTAGCAGAAGGAATTTGAAGTGTTTTCTCTCTGTCAACCTCTCTCTACCTCTGTGAGCATTGATGCTATTGTTCTCTCTGAATAGAGGATTAACACACTGATGGGCTGGTATTCCTGTAGTGAGATTAACAGTGTGCTTTGAGTGTATGAAAAGGAATAATCAGTTCTTTTCCAGAAAGTGTTATTCAAAAATGACTCTGGGGACAAACTGGATGTAGATAATGGGATGTAGTTGGAGGAGGAGCAAGGACCTTGCCCAGGGATCTTCAGTGAGGTACGCAGATGAATGGGACAAGGTTTCTGACACCATCAGTTTACAGAGGAGAAAACCTGCACAAGGTGGTTGCAGTAGCCACTTGGTACCTGGGCTAAGAAGAGAAGAGATGAGGAGACCCTGCTGGAGGACAGGGACATCACCTAGAGCTGGGGAAGGAGGGCAAGGAACCCAAAGAGCCTGCAGCAATAGGCCTAATGACTCAGCTGTCCAGAAGGAAATGGAAAGCCCCATGTTTTAAGAACTTTTTTTAATATTATTTTTTAATTTTATTATCATTGTGTGTGTGTGTGCGTGTGTACTGTCAAATCAAATCTGACTGGTAGAGGAGGAGATGGCCCCTCGTCTGACATACTTTGGACATGTTATAAGGAGGGACAGGTCCTTGGAGAGGGACATCATACTTGGAGGGTGGAGGGGCAGCACAGGAGGGGAAGACCCTCTATGAGGTGGATTGATTCAGTGACTGGGGTAATCGGGATGGGTCTGTCAGAGGCAGTGCGATTGGCACAGGATAGAGCAGAGTTTAGGGCTGTTTTACATAGGGTCGCTATGAGTCACAAAGGACTTGATGACACATAACAACAACAACAACAATCCAGCAGAGCACCTGGTGGATTCAAACCAAGCGCCTTTGGTATTGCAGTGCAGCTTCTTGCCACTAGGCCACCAGAGCTCCCTGAAGCGCCACATTTTAAACCATAGAGCTGGTAAGCCTGAGCTGTGGGTAATACAAATAGAACTCACTGAGACAGTGGGCCGCAGAGAAGCCGAGTTCTTAGAGCCCAGAGGACCAGGAAGACAGTGGGAAGTCGAGGGTGACTGGCTACGTGGTCACACAGCCCAGCTTCCTGGAAGGAGCTGCCACTGGGGGTTTGTATCATCTGCTCTTTGAAGGGAACTGGTGCTTCTCATCCTGCCCACAACTGTGCCTGGCAAGGAGGTCTTTGGTTTGCAAATCAAATGAAATGCGACTTCTAAAAGAAATGAATCAAAGCCTCACTGTTTCTCCTTTCTCTGTAAAAGTACTTGGCCCCTGAAGCAATATTAGAGAATCAAATTTACTTGGAAAGAAAATGACAAGCTAGTTTAATTACGCACTTTCCTTTCTGCAGCCCACACAGAAGCTACCACAAGTAGGTAGAATTTCCTGTACCATCCACTCCCCTTTACGGGAATCTACCAACAGCTTCCACCACTCACTTGGCGTGGAGCTCGCTCCGGCCCTGGGCTGCATTTTACATGCAAAGTCTTTTTAGGAGCCTAACTCCCCTGGGAGACAGGGACTCTTGTTAGTGGCATCCAGTGAATGTGGGTAAATATGTAACAACTGGTGAGGGTGGAGGGGCTACCTGACTTGTAGTGCATGCCATTTTCCATGGTGTAAACTCTTCGACCTCAGACCACTTCTTACTATCAGTGTGAGTTTATTGAAAGCAGAGGTGTAAAGAAATGAGCATGATTGGCTCTTCAGAGCCAGACACACTGGCTCCTGCATACCACCATGTAGATTTCAGTCAGGTTAACAGTCTTTCATACAATAAGTAGACCTACTAAGCAAGCACCGTGCTGAGGCTCACACAGTGAGCGAACGACAGAGCTGGAAGTACTTTTGATTTGATTCTAAAGGCCTCACTCCTAATCATGCTTGTTTTCACACTTTGTCTGGAGGCAGAAGGTTGGAGGAGGGGGTAGTTAAAGGCAAAACCACTAGGGGTCAAGGACCCCCATTCACCTGCTTCACCTGTGTGAACCCTGCCCTCTAGAACAGCTCAGACATCACGTGATAAGAGGGGAGTTAGTGTGGACAAGGTTCTCAACCTCCTTGCCCTTCTCCATACAACTGAAATAGCCATTGTGTCTCTGGGTCTGGTCTGTGGAGAGGGTCAAATTACCTTCAGTGACAGAACTCACTGGGAAAGCCTGCTCAGTGTTTTGCAAAGTACCCCTCATTGAAATGTCCATCATTCTCCATTGCACATCTCGGCAAAACCTCCCTTCTATTTTACATATGATCAACACTATTATAACTCAGTAATGTCAAGGGAGAAAAAGAGCTAAACGTTTGTTTTTTTCCCTGTTTACAGTTTCTCGAAATGGTGTTCCTGGTTTCTGTCCCTCACCCGCTCTGCCTCCCCTCGCAGAGAACGGTAAGCGCATTGCCTTTCAATCTCTCTGAGCAAAGTTGCACTTCAGAATCACCCCTTCTCTCTCCCTCCGTTTGCCCTGCATTTTACAAACAACCTCATTCTCACTTTCATGAATGCAAATTCCTATAGCTCTTATCAGCCATGCATGGGTGTCATCGCTCAAGGATGTAAATTTTGATTACTGTATTTATGCTGAGGTGTGAATATACATTATACTCAGCCTAGGTGTGACGACGATATATGATTATAATCACGTGCATAGCTATGAATTACTGTTCTTCTGAGTAAGTATAAATATATATTATTGTACTCATGTATAAACCAGCACCATCCCCACTGAATGGGTGAAGAAACCACTTCACAGGAATGAAATCCGGGGTCAAATAATAGAATAATTAGAAGCAGAGTGAAAGTGAAGCCCAGCTTCCCAATTTTCTTCTTGATGTTTTTTGTACCATACATGTATATGTATAACAACAAATATCTCTATAATAACAAATGTCTCTAATAAGTATCTCTCTCTTTCTCTATTTATCTATCTATCAATTATCTATCTATCATCTCTATCTATCTATTAATTATCTATCTATCTATCTATCTATCTATCTATCTATCTATCTATCATCTATTTATCTAAAATTGTCATTACTTTTGTGAACAGTTGAGTCCACTCCAACTTCTAGTAACCGCATATACTAGAGCAAAACTGCCTCACAGGGTCTTTAGGCTGGACTCTTTATAAGCAGATTGCTAGGCCTTTTCTTCCACAAAGCAGCTGATGGGTTTAAAGTCAAGGAACCTTTCTCTTACCAGCCAAGTGCTTAAATATTATGTAACCTAGGACTTCTTCTAAGTAATGTGTAGACCTTAGGCAGTGCTAAGAAGAATGTGTTTGTAGCAGAAAGTGAAAGAAGTCAGCCCTTCATTAGTGCCAGTGATTTGTGGCTTGCTGTCACCTGGATGCACCAGGAGCTGTGGTGGTGCCAGGAGCAGAGGCCCAGCCGGCACATGGCCCAGCCCTCACCATGGTGCACTGTCCTCCCACAGGAAGCATGGGAGGGTGGATGCAGCAGGCACTGGGCCCTCTGAGTGGGCAGTGTGGAAGTGGTGGGGGGCATGTCCAGTTTTCTACCTCCTGTTAGTCAGGAAATGAGAGGCTTGGCCTGGGTTCCAGACACCACTCAGCCAAGAGCAAAGCCACGGTAATTCCTGTCCTGTGACATGATGTCTGAGAAGCTCTAGAAGCCTGTCATTTTGGACACTCCTGAAGGGACAGAACATAGCTCAAGTGGGTGTATATCTACAGCCAAAGCTGGGCTGCAGGTATGAATGGCCTAAACCCATGCCATCTGTTCTCTTCACATATTTAAAATATCTGACTTGGAAGATTTGTAGGAATGCTTTTCCCTGAAGAGCCTCTATAGAATGCCTGTGATAATCACTAGAGATGCTGGTGGTGTTTGGTGCCATTAGGTTCACTAGGACTCACAGTGGTCCTGTGAATAACGAAGCTGAACCAGGTCCCATCCTGTGCTATCCTCGGCCTCTTTCATATACTTGACCCATTGTCACGGTCACTACGTCAGCCCATCTCTTTGAGGGTCTTCCTCTCTTATGTTGGCCCCCCACCTTTCCAAACTTGATGCATTTTTCCAAGGACTGGACCACCGTAACAACATGCCCCAAATGTGTGGGATGAAGCTTCACCATCCTTGTCTCAAAGGAGCACTCTGGCTGCACTTTCCCCAATACATTTTTATTTGTTCCTTTGGAAGTTGACAGGATATTCAGTACTCTTCTCAAGCAGCAAAACTCAAAGGCAATCATTTTATAAAGATGTTGTTAAGCGCTGGCAAGTCATAGATGACTCGTAAGTGCTGTCAAGTTGTAGACGACTCATAGCGACTCTAAGAATGAAAAGCCAGAACACTCGCATAACTTTCATCGTTTCTCCAAGTTCATAGGGTTTCCGGAGGCAAGTCGTTTTAGAAGTGGCTGCCACTCCTGCTTCCAAGCTTATTTTAATTGGGGAGCTCCAGCAAACACTGTCCACCATGGGTAACCATATCATGTTTGACACATCAATGTCACAGTGTTCAGCATCACAGCAATCACGAGTTACCTCTGTACAGCAAATGGACAGACCAGTGCTATACCACTTAGAAGAATGTTTGACCAAAAACAATTAAAAGCAGGCCTGAGGGCGGCAGACTAAAATTACCCACCTTTGGCTTGGTAGCATCAATTTCTGCCCACTAGGCCAACCAAGCTCTCTCTCTGTTTATATTAAATGTAAATATATTTAAAATATTAAAATAATAAAAAATATTAAAAATATAAACAATGTATTATATAAGAGTAAAATATACAAATTTTATGCATGTGAACTCTGGTGGTGCCTTCTCTAGGGAGTTCTGCTGCTTCCCTGGAAGCAACAGCTCACCGGTTGTTCTTCTTGGGAGAGAAATGGGTCAAACAATCTTCTCCCTGTTGTGATTTGCATAAAGCCTTGAAGACCCGTCAGAGGGTTGTGATGTGGCGGCCCCTACACAATAGCTGTCTTATAAATAGCTTGATCGGTGCATAGATAGATGGTTAAATTTTAGCTACTAAAATAGATTGCTGTTGTTTTATCATTGGGTTGGAAATGACTAATAGCTGGCCCTCCAGCAGGTTTTCAGATTGCCCATCCTTCTCCCAGGGAGCATCTTGTGACCTCAAACCAGCTTCTTGCTACTAGGCTATCCATCACCACACCAAGTGGGGCTTGAAAAGAAGATACTGGAGAGCAAACAGCTGCCCTATGTCATACCCAAACATCAGATGGATTTAGGGTTGTGTCAGGGTTATGTGCAAACACGGTAGAGATATACAGTCCTAGGAGAGCATTCCTTCCCAGAGTACTACCCTCATATATGCACAGTCCCGCAATAGCAAACAAAAAATAATCTGGAATGGATATAGAGGTAGACATGCAAGCTGAACAGGTGTGGGAAGGCAAATGAAACTATGAATTTATATAGACTTGGCAGAGGATATTTCCACATATGTATTGTGCTGCAAATATATCCATGTTTATAGTTGAACTTAAAGATAGTAAATTATGAAAGCTTCTTAGTCATAAATAAGAACTTTGGAGAAACAATTCACTGGGCTTGGGAGCTTAGGGCCATAGTCCTGGGGGACATGCTTCTGTAAACACACTGGAGGGTCAGCTATGGCTTGGTTCCATCTCTACGGTATACAACAACAACAACAAAAACAACATATATGTATATATATTATGTAAATCATATGTAGACGTTTTTGTTACTGTTTTTAAGATATATACACATAATTTATTTACATAATTACCTATTTATCCATCTCGTGTGCTCATGTATTCATTATCTGACTTGCTCATTTATTTATCTGTTACCACTTTCCTGATGAGAACAATCTATTTGTGAGAAGACACATAAGGACAGTACGGTGTCATACGTGGTTGTGACAACAGTGTTGCCAGGAAATCACAACGGAGTTCACACAGTCATTCTTCCCTTTTTGGAGATGTGACTGTTAGTCTTTATTATTAGAAAACAGCGCATATTCCACCAGCTCCATGCTCAGACAAAGCCTTCTCCTTGGCCTCCCCATCCCATCTCATCCCTGCCTGAAACTGTTCCTTCATTCTGAGACTTTGGCCACTACAACTCCTCTCCCTAGAAGGGCATTCTGGGACCTGCATATCTGGCAAGTTCATGCCAGCTGCAAACCAGCTCCAGTATGTATGTGGGGCCAGAATTCAAGACAGAAGGTTTGTTCATCTTCACATCATCCCCATCAGCCAGCCAGGATGTCATAGTCTCCTAGAAAGAAATTGACTGCAGGGACAGCTTATTCACATAAATGTCAAAAAAGAAAGAAAGAAAGAAAAAAAAAAAAAAGACAAGTCTATCGTTTTAAAGGCCATCTCTGTCAGTTCTTTAGGAAATAAAAGCCAAATAAATTTATCTAACTCTGAGGGGCCCAGCAATAAGGTCTTGGTTCAGATCTCAGCCCAGTCATTGAACCTCTCTTACTCTCTGATTCTCTTATGTGCGTATTCTCCCTCTCTCTCTCTCTCTCTCTCTCTCTCTC